CCAATCATGTAGTCGTGAGACCCTCAACCTTGCTTTGCAGGACCCCTCTACTCTCACCGTCTTTGAGAAGTATGTTGCCTATGAAGACAAAGTACGTACAGGCCACCTTGGCAAGACAGCAATCTTTTGGCTTAGTGTTATAGACCATGCACGTCTTATTCTAATGCTGCAGTATTCTGTGAAAACTAACAACTTGGCTCTCTCTGGTAGGGGAGGGTGAAAATGAAGGATGAAAAGCTGACAAATAAATCAAAAGTGGATCTTTCCAGTAGGGACAATCTTGTTCCACATGTTGCATGTGTAAATTATCGGCTTGCCATCTTCAAGTGAGCTGACAAGTCTTTCTACTGGTCCCCCAAACCATATGATCCAGGACAGGGCTGGGCGAAGAATGAGAAAGATATCTTGGAGCCATTGTGGTCATGTGGTCCGATCCTCCTTTCTTCTCTAATTGACTTGCTGGTGAAAACTGTGGATGACGATCAGGAAGAAGAAGGAGAGGAGCAAGAGATTGATTATGAAGATTATTTAAGTGATGACGACTAAATGATGACATTACCAAAACCTGTAGCGAAAAAAAATATATCATTTTTCTGTCAACTTTCATGTCAACTGAACTACGCCTTTGTGCTTTTCACTAACTTTAGTTTACAGATATATTGGTGAATAAATATTGTTTTATATGCATAATATTGTGTACTTATTTTTACTACTTATGCTAATTGACCAAAAAAGATATTTTGGCTTTCGGGCATTTATACTGCTTCAATATTAAAAATAACGTTCTCATTGAACTCCCCATGTTCAAATTATATGGATACATGCATTTGTTTGTTTCTCTGGGATGTTTGGTCAAAAGTTCTATCGATCATTGATTTCTGTAAAAACAATCCAAGATGGCTGCCAAAATGGCCGCCTAATGACGTCATGGGACAAAATTTCGCAATGGGAATTTCAAAATTCGTGTACTAGACAACCTGACGATTCCAAAAATATAAGTTAAAAAATATATCATTGGGTGCATGGGGACCCATATTTCCTACTCGACTAATTGGCCTGCAAACAGTATGACCAGAATCATTTCATCTTATAAAACAAATACTGGAAGTCAAATTCACTGGTTGAATTAATTGTCTGCTTGATTTCCACGAATAATCGTGTGTAGAATTCTATTTAGACATTTTGTTGTATACAAGAAAGCAACTTACAAAGACAATACATAATGGTATACTTATTTGTTTCAACATGTATTCAAACATTGCCATCTAGTGTGCTTTGTCCAGTATCATTCAAACTGTCATATTCTACACTCATGGACACATTTATTTTGATTATTTTTGAATATGCACTTGTACCTTACAACCACATGTCATTCACACCATTGCACAATATGTAACTAGAGAAATCACCAGTGCTTTAACCATTTCATCACAAGTTGTTTTTGTCAAGCAAATTTTGAATTTCAGAAAGTTTCCAAGACGTCTCGTTATCATTGATACGCGATCTAAGACGTTAATATGTACCAAATACCATTGATTTTCTTTTGTCCACATTTAAAATTAATCAATTTATATATATATTTATTCGCCAATTCGTGAATAGTCACTAACTAATTAAGGACCTTTCAATTTGATTAACATCATCTCCTGTATAAAACAAAGCAGTACCATCAGTATTGGAAACAAATTTGCTTAATTTGGCAACAGATTCAAAGTTTATGAAGAACAAATAATCTAATGTCCGACCATATGGTACTCCAATTTAGGCATGGAATGAGGTGGACATACTGACAATTATACTTGTACATTTGGTATGATCTGTCAAATATTCTAGTATATGCTTTGACAGTTTTTGTACAAGGTAGGTGGGAAGGAAATACATAATGGTACAATATTTATATACTCATGGACACATTTATTTTGGTTAAGAATTGGCGCGTCGCACATGTTTTGACATGTAGGACTTGACAGCGTATGTTCCATGTCAAAAGCCTTGATAAGGTCAATAAAGATTGCACCTTTCTTTTCCCCGTTATCCTGTAAAACCCGACCTATTTTCACATATGAGGTCATTTATGAAATTATATTTTATACATTTGTACATACACAGCACGTTCTAAGATCTTATTTACATAATGAAGTGAGTATTTTGAATTCAGGACCGGTACACGTAGAGCCGTCTTAGATATATATGTCGCCCAAAATGTGTGTGGTTTCTTTATGATTGGTAAGATTCATTTGAAGGGCGTGAGTTGCAACGTACTAACATTATTACTACGTATACATTTAGTATAAGGGATCGAAAGAGTGATAATTAGTTTTACAGAACAATCCGAACAACCTTATACCTTATAAACCAATAGTCACGAATTCGTATTTTTGACCTAAACAAGGACAAAACGATGACTCTAAAAGTGCAAATAATTAATATTAATTTCCATAAATTCTAAAGGTTTATTGTACAATGCTTACCACATGACATTGAAAAAAAAACATTGAAAATACACTATGAACATAATTACAAAGAACATGCAAGTAAACATAGGAATTAAACATGTGTGATACAATCACAAATAAACGTCCGGCCACAAAAGTAGTTCACATGACCAAGAGTGTTGTAAACAAATTACATGAAGCACTTTGTCATTGAAATAACGCATATTAGTTTAACTTGTATTTGAATATAAAAAACCTACACGTCATTTCAAAGGGAGGCGAGGAACTATAATGATCTTCACGCCCAGCCAATATGAAAGGAATTATATTGGATGGTATAGTGTATAAATAAACAATGAAGGCTCCAACAAATCCACATTTAATTAAATCTTTCATAAAAATTATCATTTCCGAGAATATTAATTGACCTTTCAAATTTCGCTTACGCCTACGAACCAGATAGCAAAGGTAACTGAATCGTGATCACGCTCTCGTTTCTATCAAGTCTTCTGATTGGTGCATGACACATTTTAAATAGGCCATGCTCGGAATTCAAGAATGGGGTCAGTCAATTTGTTTAGTTTTATTGATTTATTCTACTAACATCAGTGAAGTAATTGCATGGCGTTGACGAAAGTAAAACTAATATTCTCTAAACTGGTAGTTTTCCGAAATACGATTGACACTTCTTTCGCTTGTTTTTTTATATGCGGGATCGTCGAACCTCGGACCTTTTATATTTTTATATATTAGATAACAGTCGATCAAGATATGCGGACAGTATATTTTATAGTATATGGGCTTCCTGTGGTCACGTGATTGAGAAATTATATCAAATATTGTTTTCGAAATAGTCACAATAGACGGAAGAACATCCTGATCATTTCAAATGCTTACATTTTGTCGCATACCACAGGAACAATACCGATTAATGTTCTCTCTGATGCACGCCACCAAGCGGTAACCTTGCGACTGTATATGTGAACTTTTTATTATCTTTCCCGGAAGAGGCACACGCGTCCAGGACAGGAAAGAAGAGGATACGATGCGTATAGGCGAACGGGGTTCAATTTAGGTAATCCATTAAATATTTTTCACGCGCGTCATGCCGTATATTCTAATTTTAGTTTGTTTGGAGCGTTTCGTTCACTTCATAATGTGCTGCATGTTATAGCGAAAGGTAACCTTTGGCCCAGTTATAATGTTGAACACAAATGAAAGGATTCACTTTACAGCTCCACTTCTAGCCCTAACTCTTATCCCATCCCCAAACCTAAATCTCACCTTCAGCGCTCCCATATAGTTATGTAGAGGGGTGTATACAGATGAATTGGTGGCTTTGTGTGAGCATTAGCATGAGTGTTTAGGGTAGGCGTACAAAAGAATTGTTTTACAGATATAATCAAAACTACGCATACTGCCTCTTTGATCTGTGAAATTCCATGATATTATCTAACGTTAACAGACTAACTATGAACTTTCGGCCAATATAGACATTTCATTGATCCTATAAACAAGTAATTGCGTGAAAGGGTCGTGAAATATTGTAAATTCTATTGATATGAATTGTAATTCAAGTAATTCAAGTAATTCAATTCGCATGAAAAAAAATTAATTAATAACATAATAACATAACTTAAATGCTCTGTGCTATAACAGGAGACTAGATATTAGACAATGTTATAGTTCATGTTGTAATATTTATACAGTTATTATTGTTAAATCATTTGAACTGCAATTCAATGTAACTGGGTGGTACGAGTTTCAGGGTTAACGCCCCTGTATTTTCTGTAGTTTCCAACGTATACTATTAGTCTTTTTGCAGCCAGAAACATTACAAACTAGTCTGGACCTTCATTATTCTCCAAAAAAAAGATCCCAATAATGAATGCTTCTTCTGGTATTATTATGTTAATTCTGTAGATAGTAAGGACACTATTTCGTATTGTTTCTCTCCAGGAGAATATTATGGATATAATAAGAATATTGGCTTTAAAAAATATTTAACAAGCATGGAAAGGAGAAGCACAGTTGCAATTCGACAATATGAAGAAAAAGATCAGCAGAATGTGATATATGTATTTAAAGACAGTTATTTGGATCTATTGAAACCAACATTTCAACGACATATGAGTTATACAAGATTTACTAATGTATTTCTGCTAGCACTGTTTTTTTACTTGTCGTTCTTTGTGTACAATTCAGTTCTGTTGTTCGTTGTGCTAGTTGCAATGGTACCAATTGCATACATCATAATAATCTATAAGATGCGCAAAGAACGTATTTGCGAAAGACTTACTTCAGATTTGAAAGATATTAAGACTACTTACATTGACAGTGAGAGCGGTAACTTTTGGGTGGCTGTTTATGATGGTCAAATCGTAGGTACAGTCGCTTTAGTTTTTAAGGAATTTGAAGGATGTGGCATTCAGCCACAACTCACAACATTGTATGTACTCAAGAAATATCGACGTCTTGGGATCGGGGCTAAACTAATGAACAAAGCGGTACAGTATGCAAACGAACATCAATTTAGTTGTATATTTCTTAGAACAGGTGAAGATCATCAAGAAGCCCGGAAACTGTACAGAAAAACTGGTTTTGTTAAAATTAGAGAGTATGTTGTTAATTACAATGTCTTAATATCGAGAACAATTACTACATACGTTTTAAATTTGAAACCAAATGTTGATGATGTCGTGACAGTGGTTCAAGATACATCTAGCATAAAACGAAAGTGATACATTTTTTTAATATTATCTCTAATGATTTCCCTATGGTCCCATCTGTTAATCGTTGAATATTTGCATTTAAAGATAAATACATGTAGTAAAGGCAACCTGGGAAATGTTTAGAAATAATTACACATTCAAGAGATATTTCTAGTGTGTTATGACCAAATTGTAGATTTATTGATTGTAATGTATGTTTCTTATAGAGATTGTGTTTAATTGCCAACAAATAGGGAGTACAACTATTCATGTTA